GTAATTTACACCATCTATCTCTTTCTGGCACTTGAGCCTCTGGCAAATTGCATGTCTTTGTGTTGGATTAGTTTGGAATTTAATCATACATTATTTTCTCTCCAATTAAATTATTTATAGATTTGATTAACGTTTTCACTGCTAGGAAGTCAAATTTTCAATGAAACCACAAATAAACACATGCCCATTGAGTTTCAGGCCAGCTTCACATGGGATCAGTCTGTCTGTTGAATATCAAGAACTTACTGTGTATTAGTCATTTTAGCTACTTAGGATTTTAGTGAGCAAAAAATGTGTGCTTTTCCACCCAGTCCTAGGAACATGATGCAGAGGGGAAAGTCTGTCTGACTAACACCTTCCCCTTGTTTTAGCCCAGAGTCCTGACTTTTATTCCTTACTCTACTGCCTTTTCTTTTCTCTGTCACTGAAACATACCTCCTTCTGATTTTACTTCCTCAGGCTTAAGAGCCAGCTTGATTAAGAAAGGCATGGGCTCTGCTAGCTTACACAGGAAACTTTCAAGTCATCTAGTTCAGGGTGAGCAAACTAATGGCCCGCAGGCCCACTGCTTGTTTTTGCATGGCCCATGAGCTAAGAATGGTTTTTATGGTTTTAAATAATTGGAAAAAATGTTTTCTAAGAGTATTTCATGATAAGTGAAACTTTTGGCATCCATAGATGAAGAGCTGCACCCATCATTTGTGTGCTGTCCATGGCAGCAGCAGGTAAGAACCTGCAACGGACCTTTTGGCCCAAAAAGCCTGAAATACTTACTATCTGGCTTTTTACAGAAAAGTTTGCTGACACCTGATCTTACTTCAAAACCCTAATTTTACAGATGAGAAAATAAAGGCCCAAATAGGTTAATTGAACTGTCCAAAGGTACACAGCTTATCAGGAATTGGTCTGGACTCATCTGCTTCCCACTGTGCTCTTCCCTCCAAAATATAAGGTCTGCCCTGAGATGAGCCGTCGCAAGCACTCACTGCAGAGGCCAAAACAATTTGCAAAGAAAAAAAAAGTAAATATTCAGGACACATGGATATATAAATATAAAGTCTGTGATTTCTTAGAATTTTAATTTTCACTTGAAATTTAGCTCTAGGAAATGTTTTAAACTTAAACTGCATTTGAACAACCTAAATAGAAAGATGTCTCTGTATTTCTTTCTTTTGGCAGGGGGGCGGGGGGAGGTAGTAAAAAAATCGACTGCTTTAAACAGCATTTTCTTCTATTTTTAACATCTTATATATCTTACATTAGTATGGTACATTTGTTAAAATTAATGAACCAATATTGATTGATACAATATTCTTAAAGTCCCATCTTTAATCAAATTTCCTCAGTTTTTATCTAATGTCCTTTTTTAATTTTTTTTTTCAATAACAGTTGACATTCAATATTATATTAGTTTCAGGTATATAGCATAATGGTTAGACATTTATCTCTCTATTTCTTTATAGTAATTGGTTAAGTCCTGTAGTCAGCATTTGGATCATAAAAACAAGCAAAATGAACCTGGTCCCTGCTGGCCGAGGTTGTAGAATCTCCTTTTAAGAAAAAGAACTTGTGATCTCCATCCAATTTGGCACGCAAACAGTTTCATGAATTACAAAAGCATGTTAAATGGAACTCAGTGCTAATCTAAGAGGGAAGAAAAGGAAAATTTCCAAGATGCTTACCTCCACTCTCCAGCCCACGTCCTCACCTGTCCTCACATGTCCTCGCCATGTGGAGACAACACCAGGGCTGTGCTTTCTAATTCATATGGAATTCCCACCACTGGAATTTTCAGACATTGTCTGAGCTTAGTAGTGGATCCCTAGCATCCTTGTAGGCAGCTTCTGTGGCCTCTCCATCACATGGTTACTGAAGTCCACCCAATTTAACCCTCCAACCTCATGTCCACTGAAAAGCCTTCCCTCCTTTTCTAGACCAGGCATGCGCTCAAGGAGCTGGGAGTGTTTGTTCCTGCTCTGCACCCCACTTGAAAAAGGAGACCTCTTAACTCTTCTCCTAAAGTCTAGCTCCTCCAGTGTGTTGGAGAGAACAGATAAGAGTCTCTTCCTTCACTGGCCATTGTTGGTGCCTCCCCTGCTGGTCATCCCAGTTCCTGAGTAATGCTAGTTAACCTTGATGTTCTCCTCTTTGAGGGCTGGTGTCCAGGTGGCTTTCTGGTGGAGTGTATGTGAGTTCTTTCTAGGGATATATCCCATAGTTGTTGCTAGAGACCTGACCTGGCGCACTGCATTTTATGTGGGACAAACTTGGCTACCTCAGTGGTACCCACCCGGCCTGTGGAAGTCCACGCTTCATACTGTACCAAGCAGTGCCAGTGCCGGGGCCTGTATGCCTTGGCCCATTTTCTCCTGCCGTGGGTGTTTCTCACCCTGATCCTCAATGGCACCAAGTTCTCTCCTTTAGGTGCTTCTGTCTCATCTTTCTGCACCGGTGTTCTTTTTTCTCCACTCCCATCCTTACCTGGACCCCTGGTGGGCCTCCACTCACCCTCACTTTAAATGTTACTTTATCGGAGAGCTGACTGTGATGCTCCACATGGAGTTGGGATCCCCTGTTAATTGTTTTATAAAAACTTATTTCCCTTCGGAACACTCATCACACCTATAATTGTATAGTAACTTAAGTCATTATCTTTTCCTTAGTAGATGGCAATTCCCATAGGGCAGGAATCATTTCTGTCTGATGCCTCAGTGCCAGGCCTGGTGTGGAGTGGCACTCAGTATGAATGTGTAAATATGGGAGAGGCAAATGCAGCATTGCTGTCACAGTGTATTCTTTGTATTCCACTCAGCAAGGTAGGATTCACATTTGGATATCTTTCAAATTCTTTTGAATTCTTGATAGTATGTTACAGTAATTTAATACTTTATATTAAACTCTTATGGTATGGATAGTAGGTGAAATGAAGTTGAAAAAAAGATAAGCAAAAGCATCAAATATAATTACTTTTGTCCAGTGAAACTTTAGTTTGCTGTGTGAGTCAAATCAGTTCCACAAATAAATATTTACTGAGGCCCTGCCAAGTACCAGGGATACTTGTCAATTGATGAGAATATGAAACTAAAAGACATGGGTCCTGGCCTCAAGGAGTAGGCTCAGCCTAAATTGTAATTTAGTTTTCTAATTTTAACTTTGCCTGCCTGCCTCTACCTTTCCTCTTTTTCTCTCTCCTATCCTTTCTTTTCCTTTCATGTATATTAATCCAAGGAGCTGTATTTCCAATAAATTGGAAAAAAACAACCAAGAACAATTATTATGGAATGGTTTTGTATGATCATTAATTTTTCTCCCTGGAAAGGAGAATTCATAGAACCCCTCTATATTACGCAGGCTTAAAGGCAGAACGTCAGCACACATTGTGATGATGTGAAGGGGTGATGTGTGAATGGACTGCAAAAGTATACTTGAAGCATAAGTTTAAAGATTGTATGTTGTCCCCTGTCCAGCACATCTGTTCTCTTCATATACTTATATGCACCAGCATAACTTTTAACAAACATTAAAACTTCGGACAATTGGCTTTTTGTAGGAAACTCACATCTGGTTGCCACAGGATTGTTACTCCATCATGAACCTGAGTGATTTTGTGTGGTTTCCTTGTCTTCAGAGCTTTTGAAAGGATCCCAGTTGTCTTTCTGTGTGTTGTGCTGTATCGCCCACTCTCTTCTGTTCCTCCGGCTTTCTGGGAGCTGCTCAAAGAGAGGAAAGTGAATAGTAATCACATTTTTCTGCCCTCATCAGTTTTCAACTCCGGAGACAGCCAGACAGACTTCATTGTTTCCTGGCAGCAGTTGGCCGCCTAGTGGAGTAACTGGGAAAGGCAGGCTGTGTCAGTGGCATCTTACCCTCTGGCCCCCAGAGACCACTCACTGAGGAGCCAGACGGAGCCAAGGCAGGAAAAAGTAATTAAACGCTCTGTCACTACTATGCAGTACATGGAACTCAAGGAGAGCTTTCTCCTATTACACAAAATGTTTACTGGTATATTTCTATGTATTTTTGAGAAAGTGTTTGAAAAAAAACCTTAACATTAAGGCAAATAAAATGTGGGATGGCAACCTAGGACACAAATTTCCTCATTAATCCATAAGTTGACATTTAAATCATATTGAAATTAATTTAAATTTGATCCAAATTAAGAACCTTTTCTTTCTTTGGTGCTACTATAGGTTTCTTATGTCTCCCAGTTGTAGGACACTTGATATATGACTCCAAGGAATTCTGTAAAATAAGATTCTAAAACTTTGAATTATTGAGGAATTCAGGGAAATTCATTTTCATTTTAAAAACCAAATCAATAGAATTATAGAGCTGGAAAAAGACCTTAGAAACTAGGTAATCTATTTCTTTATTTTTGTACATGCAGATAGCCAAAATCCTGAGAGACTAATTTATTGACTATTACTGGTCCTCATCTCCAATATCTCCATTCATTTCTCTGTGATTCTTATTCAAGAGGAAATCCCACTAATTGGAAATGAAGAGCAGTTTGAAAAAGTGCTTTGGTTTATCTTGTTCCTTATTACAGAATTGTGTGTGTCGTGTGCATGCATATGTTCTATGAGCTATGGCTCTAACCCAAGGCCTATACAGCATGAGAGCTGGAGAGCACCTCTGTGAGTGTTTAGCCTTGACTCCTACTTGGCAGATGAGAATAGCAGAGGTCCAAGGAGGGGTCGTGTGGCTTACCCCATTTGGCAGCTTTGCTCTTCAGATGCCCTGTGCAATACTTTTTCTGGGACATCAGTCTTCCTCCAAATAGTGTCGCTCTTGTTAGCTAGGAAGTATTCATACAATTAATAAGAACAAATTTACTTAAGAAATATTCTAATTAGAATAAAATAATCTGTAAAATAGTAAAGTTATCGTGTTATCGTGTTAGGACCTGTTGTTGGCATATTTAACATTTCTTTTTCTTGCCTTCAGAAATTAATAATATATTTCCACTTAATTTCTCTCTTTCTTTTTCCAAACTCCAGCATATAAATAATGACCATATTCATGGAGAGAAGAAAGAATTTGTTTGTCGGTGGTTAGATTGCTCAAGAGAGCAGAAACCCTTCAAAGCCCAGTATATGTTGGTAGTGCACATGAGAAGACACACAGGAGAGAAGCCTCACAAATGCACTGTGAGTACATGGGTGACACAGTCTCTCAATTTAGAGGGTCACCTCACTCCTATGGTTGTCAGGATTTGTACCATCGGTCCTTCGTCATGCTCTCACGGTTGCGCATGATGACTTCAGCTCAGGGGAGGCATGCTGGGTTGCAGCACTGTCTGTGATAAATGTGGGGGTTTGTGAAAGGGGTTTCTTAAATGGAAGGGAAATGAGAAATAGAGAAAGAACGCTGGCAGCTGAGCTTTGGGTGATGATGAAAGTGTTTCAGACCTGCACTGTCCAGCATGGTAGCCACAAACCACATGTACCTCTTGAGCACTTTTGAGATGTGTCTAGAGCAACCAGGAAACTATTTTATTTTATTTTAGTTTATTTATTTATTTAATTTAAATGTAAATAATCCTACATGGCGAGCAGCTACCACATTGGACAGCATAGTTCTGCGGAGTGGCAAGTGGGCAGGCAGCTGCTGGGACACTTTGGCACTGGGAATGAGCACATAGCCACCATGTCTGTGCCAATACCATTGTGTCAGAGGACTTGGAGGGCAAAGGTGTTACCAGCTTTGACCTGAAAAGCTTAAGTTGAACTTTTTAAAAATATAACTATGGATTTAGAGATTTTCTTCACCTTCCTAGTCTGTCCCAATGGCCTAAGAAGGCTGGGACTCCTGCAGGGTTAAGCCTTCTTTCACTAAGGTGCCCACCAGGAACACTGGGCACTGTTGAGCTCTGGTACTTTACATCTTAAAGGCCCTTTACCAACATGATCAAATTCCATGCCTTTGTATGGACACAAAGCCATATATTAATGAACTTTGTGCTGAATTTGAAATCAGTGGGAATTCAAGGAGATCAATGAGCAGATAAAGAAACCCATTGTTGGCATTGAGTGGTCTCTTAAAAAAATCTCCAGAGTTTTTACTAGCTTTGAAAATACTTTCTCTTGAACTGCACTGAACCCCATCTGAATCCAAATAAATAGAGTTCAGTGGACTTATGTTCCTTGGTTTTGAAAAGCTGCTGACCCTCAAAACATCAGATTTCCATCAACTGTGAGAGAGGTTAAGCGTAAGCTGTTATTGTATGAAGTAATCCAGATTTACCTGTTGTCTTCAGTTTGAAGGTTGCACAAAGGCCTACTCAAGACTAGAAAACTTGAAAACACACTTGAGATCTCACACTGGAGAGAAACCGTATGTCTGTGAGCACGAAGGTTGTAACAAGGCTTTCTCAAATGCCTCCGATCGCGCCAAGCACCAAAACAGAACACATTCCAATGAGGTAAGCCTCCCCTATGAGACATACTTTGGACCCAGAGCTTGTGGGTAGGAACAATGAACCTTCAAGGGGAATGTTTGTGGAGAGGTGAGCCTGTTCTGTTCTATTTCCTCTTGACCATACTCAGCATGAGTGAGCACTCATTGCAGGTGAAGGCTTGGGGACTTGGGTGTAGGCTGAAAACTAGGCCTGGTTTGGAGCGTACTGCAGGTGAAGAGAGAACTTGCTAAAACTCCTGGCAAACAGTTTTCACTTCGCTCAGAACTACTACCTACAAGTCAAACAAAACAGTAAGAGCATTTGACTTGGAATTCCATCCACTTCTCCAGTGGAATAGCAAGAATCCGTGCAAAGAATGACCCTGCAAGCACCAAGGATAGATTCAGAAGCAACATATTGACAGCTGACAGCTTACCACTAAAACATCCATATTTATTTGCTTTTTCCAGGTGGTATGTGCAAATGCATTATATCAAAAATAAAAAATAAATAAATAAAATAAAAGACTTTTACAAAGCAACCAGTCTTGGCTAAGTACAATTTCCAGATAGCCTAAATTCCAATAAATCTTGCAAACTATTCTCAGAAACCCAGAATGGTTTCTAGTCAATTATTTAAGGTAACATATTGAGCAAAGCGTCATGGTTAGTGAGTTGATCCTGTTGTGTTGCTATTTTTTTTAGGTAGTTATCCCCCCCAAAATTTCAGAGAAGCATAAGAATGAAAATGATTTCAAATTCATTTTGCTTATATTTTATTGCATGTCTGCCTACTGACCTCCAACTCTCCTTGAAGATCTAGCTCAAATTCTGGCTCCTCTGTGAAGTCTTCTCTTGAATGAATCCAGAGATTAACAAAAAAGTCTCTCACTGTTTGGGTAGAAATAGGAGAGCTAACTAGAGTTTGTTAACATGAAGCCTAGTTCTGCCCCACAAAGTGTGTCATCAGTTAGTTTGCTAGAAATGTGTGAGAGAAGGAGCATTTTGACTTTGGCATGGCTGTGATCTGACATCAAGCCCATTCATAATCTTCCAGATGGAGAGTTGGGAGAGAGAATCTGGTTAAAACAGTGGGTACCAGTCAGCTCACTGGCCTTTGGCTTTAAGGTGGCTGAAGGTGGTCCTCACTGATTTTCCTTTCAGCTGAATTGGCAGAGCAAAACCTCCAATGAGATCAACCACAGTCTCTAAAAAGCACACTCACACATAAACTCACACATGCAGGTTCATATACTCAGACTCTTTTTGAAAAGGTCATGGTGGAATAATGAGTCATTTGGAACTTATTATTTAGGGGAGATACCGTATCTCCATTTTTTAAGTCAAAAATGTTTTTAATAGTTACACTGTAATCTACTATACTTGGTTTGTACCAAGTTTTAGGGAGCCTAGAATAGGCAAATCTACAGAGACAGAAAGTAGATTAGTGATTGCCAGTTGGTAGGAGTAGAGGTGACTACTAATAGGTACAGGATTTCTTTTCAGGATGATGAAAATATCCTGGAATTTGTTAGAGGTGAGGTTTGCACAGCATTGTGAATGTACTCAATGCCACTGAATTATGCAACTTAAAAGGGTTATTTTTATGGTATGTGAATTATATCTCAATTTAAAATGTTTTACGGAGAGTTAGATGAGGGAAAAATTTAAATTATTTCTTCAATTTAAAAATAAATAAATAATTAAAAAATTTTGCGGAGTTTGATTAACTTAATATAGAGTTTAATTAATGTACTTAACTATATTTAATATATTTAAGTATAATTTTGACTAGAAATTTAGAGGGTATTCATTCCTATAGATTTTAAGCCAAGATTCTCCCCTGTTGTAGGAGAGAAATTTGGGTAGTGGGTATGTTAGGATCAGCAGTATACACATATAAACATACTTACTGAGCTTTTTACATTTTCATGGACTTAAAATATGTGCACATGTCTATTTGCTGTTATTAAGTGTGTTATTAAGTTGTGCTTATATTCTGTGAGGTAAAAAGTGCCCTTCTACATGAGAATTTAATGAGATTAAAAGGTATCTTGATCAATAATATCTTTTACCAAAGGTAAGATAATTAAAATTTTTTTCAATTACAGTTGACAAACAATATTATATTAGTTTCAGGTGTACAGCATAGTAATTAGACATTACAAAGTAATCACTCTGATAAGTCTAGTACCCATCTGACACCAAGGTTGAACAATTTCCTAAAATAAAAATTATGATTAACCATAAATACATACATAAAATTTCATTCACAAATATGTAAATTATTTTTCTTTATTCTTTTTACAAAGCTTGTCCTTGCATATGACTAATGGACAGTTTCAGATATACTAAAATTGAATTTGTCCAGGAAATCCAGTTTCATGTAATCCGACGATCCTAAATAAATCTAGATGCCTTGTCTCATTTATTTGCTTTCCTCTTTGTACCTACATTGATTTACTAAAGAAATATTGATAGCTAATGTGCCAAGTGCTTTGCTGTTGTAGATGCAGCAAGGAATATGGTGGACTAGAACAGGAAGGGAGTAATTTCCATATGGGGAAGCTAGTCTGGCGCTCATCCCCCACCTTCCCACCCCCGCTGCCACGCCCATTAGGGCCATAGTAGCGGCCTCTGTCAGGGCTCCTTACTCTAGACTGCACAGCTCATGTTCCTCTCAAAGCTGCACTAAGCAAGTTTCCTTGAGCTTTGACTCAGTTGATTCTCCCTCTCCAGAAAGTTCCAATGGCTCCCTCTTTCTTGGGGGAAATGTTTATACTCCTTAGGCTTATACTTGCTCTTATTTGGCCCAAGCCTGCACTTGCAGTTTTGACTTTTCATCATTGTGACCATGAATGGAACCTTCTAGACAGGCTATGCTTGAACAGCCATGCCTGCATGCATGAAATGGTCTCACCTCTGGACCTTTGCTCAGGACTTCTTTTTTCACATCCTCTTGCCCTCATTTTTATCCTGCAGAATCTTGTTCTTCTTTCAAGACTCAACTACAGTATCTCTTCCTAATAAAAGCTCTGTTTACTGAGAACTTACTGTGTGCAAAACATCGTGGTAAGAACTTAATGTACATTATCTTATTTAACTCTTACCATGACCCAATGAGCTGGGCATTATAGAAATTTAGTGCCTCCCATGATCATCCCAACTAAAAAATGATTTCCCTCTGTCCACATCATTTTGTAGCCTTTATACTTTGCATTAAAGATAATTACATGCTGTCTTATATTTCTTACTGTTATTTTATAATCCTTAAGATTAAATCTTGTTGTATGCAACTTTGTGTTTAGAGAGTCTTATGTGTAGTAGGGATAATTATTAAATGTGTATTGAAAAATTTATTTGGGTATATTCTACAGAGTTAAGTACAAAAAGTATCAATCGCTTTTACAAAGTACCTTTCAGTGCAGTGAATTGAAAGGTAACAACCATGCCAAAATGGAACAACCAGCACTGGAAACGTGGGCAACTCAACTCAGGGAGACTGATGTTTACCTTTGCCTACAACTATATTTCATTTCAGTCATGGATCATAACGAAATCTGAGAACCAAGCTACATAAATGAGTTAATGTATTTTTTGTAAAGCATAGGTTTCCTGAACCTGTACTTATAGACTTTTGTAGGTAGATAATATGTATGTTCACACCCTAGGGTACCTAGGCACACATGTACTTGTATGTGCTGTTATTCCTGGACATTTAGGAACTGATGAACATTTGTAGACTCATTCCACCTCTAGCTGTGTCCTCATTTCCAAGTGAAACCAGAGTATCCACATGCATATATTTGTGGAAAGAGTAGTTCTTGGAACATCTAACACTACCCTGGCTTTGTGCTCCCCCCCACTAATCTCCACACACCTGCCCTATGCATCTCAGTCTGCCTGTTGATGGAGCATCCTGTCACAGTGCATTGAGCAAGTACAGGGCTGACCAGTGTCAGAGCACTGTAATAGCACTAATTGTCAGAGCCATTCTTCTGTCCCTAATGCATAGCATTTGATGCACTCATTTTGTGTGTGTGTGTGTGTGTGTGTGTGTGTGTGTGTGTGTGTGTGTGTGTGTGTGTATGCATGCTGCAAATCATAGGAGCTCTTGAATAGAAGTAATTCATAGTTAATGGGAATCAGTTCTACCCAAAGGAATCTCAGATTTGGAAGTGAAGTCTCTCAGAATAATTTTCAGAATCTTCACTTCACTGCATTAGGACCTTTTATCATTTTAGGTAGCGCTCAGTCTGTTCTTGGGCTTTTAGTGAAAAAGCATCTTTTAGACACATATACTCTATAAGATAGCACACCTTTTTTAATATAATGGATGCATTATATTAGTCATGCTTTTTATGACTATTGCTTACCTAATAGCTCGTCTTCTGGTATACATAGATATAAGTATATACTCATATAAGCATCCATGAATATATTGTATTTCAAGCTAAGTAAACAAAATCACAATTCTGATGTTGCTCATGAATACAATGCCAGCAGTTCTGTAATTTGAGTAAATATTCAGCTATAAGCATCTATGTAATTTTTATGACCATATTTATATGTAGGCTTAATCACTGGCTCACATAGAAAATGAAATGATTTATAGACCTTCATACTCAGGAGTACAGCCTAGACCTGGACTCCTCATTTCCAGGATATCATTCATCAGCCCTTTTCAGTTTATGAGTGAGCTTTCATGGAAAGTATAACAGGTTTTACGACTTTGAAGATCAGAAATGTTCTGGATATTCTGAGCCCTGACCATCCCCACACATTTGTAATACTACCCAAAGGAACATATTTGAGTGATATCTAACATGGGAGAGTCTGTAGGCAATTTTTTTTTTATTATGCCTTTGTGTAAAGAGCACATTTTCAAAGGGGGTAGAGTGATATTAAATCTGAGAACTATACAGGGTTGTCTCTAAGAAAGTTCTTCACACAAGCTCTCTAGAGAGTTGTATAGCATTTTTCTGCTTAAAAGATGGTATCTTTTAAGCTGCATTCTGTCATCATCATCACCATCATTATCATCAAATATCTATTCACCACCTACTGTGACACTATGATACTTCTTCCTACTCATAGGGTAAATGTTTCCAAGAGTATAAATGCAATTTACATGTTCATAGCTCTCCCTAAGCATTCTGTAGAACAATAACCTCTTAAAGCTAAATTCTCTAGACCCTGAACAATGTTCAAATGGCCGTTATTGAAACTTTGTACCATTTAGAGGTATCTGAACACCTCAAAGATTTGTGAAAATGCTTTGAAAGAATTAAACATATAATGAGCAACCACAAAAGTCTGTTGGGCTGGGGCATAATCACTTTGATAACAATTTATTATTTCATTCTCGTGGCATTCGGCAGAAACCATACGTGTGCAAAATCCCAGGCTGCACTAAGCGCTACACAGACCCAAGCTCCCTTCGGAAACACGTGAAGACAGTGCATGGCCCAGAGGCTCATGTCACCAAGAAGCAGCGTGGGGACATACATCCTCGGCCCCCGCCACCACGAGATTCTGGCAGCCATTCACAGTCCAGGTCACCTGGCCGGCAGACTCAGGGAGCCCTTGGTGAGCAGAAGGACCTCAGCAACACTACCTCAAAACAGGAGGAATGCCTACAAGTGAAAACAGTCAAGGCGGAGAAGCCCATGGTATGTCATTCGCTTTTCTTCTGGTTTTCTCAAAGCTATCCTAGGTCTTTTAAAAGAGCTGGGTAGGGCATTGAGAGGGACTAGACTGCCCCTGTCCTCATTGCATCAGGCTGTCTGATTTAAGGAGGTCGAAAGCTGAGTGACCTGGATTGCTTACTCAAGAGTTGCTCTGCATAGAATAACAGCTCAGAAAGGTTCCCTGACAGGTTTCGAAAATTAATCTGCAGCCATACCATCTTGTGGCAGGTAGAAAGACAACTGTCTACATTTTCAGCGGACCTGTAATATAGAAAATCATTCATTCGGTCTTTTGGTAAACAGGTTTCCTGTCTTCTTTGCCCTGGTACCCCAACATAAATAAGCTATAGTCCCTGTTCTTTAGGGGTTTATAGTCCAGTGGAATATGCAGACCAAAAAAACAAATACAACTCAGTGTGTGGGGTCTTTAACACAAGTCTGTGTTAAAACATTCAAGAGGGCATCTAACTACCACTGCACATAAGGGCGCAATGGAAGAGACAGAGGGAAAGATGGCTGTCAGTTTCAGCACTCAGAGAGGGAAAGGAGCAGGTCCATGCATAGCCAAGCACCATCCATGGGGCCCCAGGGGAATGTGCAGTAGTAAAAAGTGGTGAGGATGTAAAAGGTTATGTTTTGCTGGTGATGGGGAATGACCTGGTACAGCTGACATTTAGAAAAGACAACTCTAGTGCCAGTCTAGAGATTGGCTTGATAGACTGGAGACCATATCTACAGTGGTGCCTGAACCAGAGGTGGACAGCAAGAGAGGGGTTGAAAGATGTCATCAGCAAAAATCTCTAGTTTAGTGACGAATAGGATATATGGATTATGCTACTGTTGGACCTTCTTTCAAACTTCGGTTGGTGATTTTGCTTTATGTATGTGCCATGATAAGATAGCTAATATTTTCTTAAAAACAACAAGAAAAATGAAAAAGACTATCAGAGGAGATTTAATATATTTATAATTGGCCATATGTATCACGGAGTCAACTCTATGAATGTGTGTTGGTCTGGTCTGTCTCTTGCTAGAGGCAGAGGAAAGGTACCAGATAGAATTCTCATATTTAGACTTCCAGATCCGTGGAAATGATCAAGCAGGCAGATTTATAGTCAGTTTAAGGAGCCATTTTTAAGGAAGCATTTCTTCCAATTAGGAAAGTCCAGCAATTAGATGGACACCTATAAATTTCTGAGTATCCCTGTGCATTAGTACTTATGGTCAGGGAATGATGCATATACAATTTCAGAACTGATGGAGTAGAATTTAATTGATTATTGAATTTTAATGACTTACTGAGTTTGTTTTGAACTCTTACAAGTCTTAGTGACATTAAGTCTAGCCAAAAATAATGCAAATAAACATCCAGATCTATCATTATTTCCCAGTGGGTAGCTATACTTTGCTTTTAAAAAAGCACCTTAGTAAAATGTTTAAATATGTATTATGACGGATCGCTATACTTTAAATTAATCAGGTCATAAACTGTGTTTTATATACTTTTTCTTGGAGGCACATATTGACTTCCTAAAATAAAGTCTAACTGTGTAATAATTTTGTGTGGAACATTCAACAGTTTATCCTCAAGTGTTTAATGAAATGAAGAATATGAATTTGTGGTCTCCTAGATTATTTCATTGAAAGACAATGATTTATGTTGGTAGGATATCCTAAGAACCTGAAGTCTCTTGTACCTTTATGTATATCCCTGGATCAAGAAAACTTGTCACCTCATCTCTAAACGTCTATTATTTAAAAATAAATTTGATAAAAATAAAAATTTATAGAAATTTGGCTCAGTGATATGAGATGTCACAGATATAAAATATTTTATAAAGTAACTAAGTCATAGAAACAGGGCCAGAAGAGATCATAGAGGCTGAGATGAGGCCCTGTGTTTTACAGGTGAGGAAACCAAGGCTCAGTGACATTAATGAATTAACCAGATTTCCACAGGAGACATACACACATGCATATCTGATATAAGTAGATATCTTCATAGACATTTACTAATGAAAATGAGATTTACATTTCTAATATTCTTTCTGTAAAATCTTGTCTTTGATTTGATCACCATGTTAAAAATTAAATTCTTTCTTCTTTTTTCTTATTAATTCAACATCCCTTCTGTGTAATGCTCCTAAATGTCTTGTTCTCACTTCCTAAGGACAGTGGGTAATAAGGTGAGGGAATTTTGGCTTCTCTGTTCTATTTTGTTTTCATTTTAACATTTAACTTTTATTCATTTCATTTTTCTTTAGTTTTTGTGCTTTGTATATCTTTGATAGTGAACATTACTTAGATATGTTTTAAACATAAAAGCACTTATTTTGAACATTCAGCATGTGGAAATGTGAAGTTAGATAGTGAAATTCATTGTTCTGTTTGTCTAGGTTTGCATAATAAATCACACTGGGGCCGACCAAGCAGATGTTCTCAAATACTATTTAGTTACCGTATTGACTAGGGTAAATCCAGATGAGACATGCACCACCTCCATTGAGAAAGATACGTATACACTTTTTGTTAGCAATTTAATCTATATTTAAATGTCTGAGCTCCTTTAAGAAGTTATCTAACTGTAAATGCATTTGTGCCTTCTTCTGCCCTGTGGAAGCATTTGCATGTACGTATGTACATACGCACAGATCCACATACACACACACTCGGACTTGACAATCCAGAGTAAAGGGCATCAAAAGCCCTGACTGCTCCAAGAACCTTGGGAAGGAGCAGGTGGTCTGCCGTGCCAAGACTACTGAAGCAAAAACTTAAGTAAGGCTTTATGAACTCATGATCAAATTTGTGTATCCTACTTTGCTCTGCTTGGTTGCCCAGGACAGACTTAGTGTCTTATGTGGCACTCACATGATATGTGTTCATTTGCTTTGTTGGCTGTATGTTCTGGGGTTGCAGAAAAAGTGCAATGGGTTCCACAGAGGAACACCTGTGTCCTAAACCTCTTTTGACAGCATTGTACCTTCCATCTGAGATGACAGTGATCTGTCGTTGACTGTGTGCAGTTATCTCTTTCTGGAGAATTTGCTCTTAGAGCTGCTGTCAGGCCCCATTATTTAGAGTAACAATGGAGAAGGTACTGTAGAGGAATGAAGTAGCACTGGGCTGCGTGTCTAGGTTGGTTGCACCATCGACTTTGTGACTATGGGCAGTCACTGAACTTCTGAACATTACTTACCTGTACAAAAACGGTTAGGTTGTTTATCAACCAGGGCACCAGTGGGATTTTAGATAGAACAATTCTAGGTTGTATGGACTATTCATGCAGGCCATTTTATACATGGCGACAGGGAGCTTTCCACTCCCCATTTGCAGGAGCCTCTGCAGGAAGAACTAGATTAAGTTCCCATCTATTTGCAGAATTGTCTTACATAGTCCACTTGGTTGGGATTAGGGTAGCAGTGCCTGATTATCCTAGTGAAATGCTAGGGGCACAATCAGGGAATGGGGAGATCCTTCCCTATGCTTGGATTGGCTGTGACTTGCAGCTTTTCTTCACCTCTGGGTACAGCAGAAGTGATTGAAGGTTTACTTCTTACAACCGTCTTCACCCACACCATACTTGGAATTCTACAAAGTGGGAAAATGTAGAAGGAAGGGGGAGAAATTATAGAAGGAAAAGCTTGGGGAACCAGCCCTGAACAGCTTGGAGGGGCTCTTGTTGGAGAGGAGGTAGTGTGTGCTTATGGAGCATGTCTTCCATGTATATTTTAGTCCAACATAATGAACCTGAGGACTGAAACCAACTAGAATAATAATAATAATGTTATTATTATTAACCAATAGGATAATAATAATTGCTAATGTTCTGTGAGCCAATCAGTTGCTGTTACCTAGGCTTTTTTTTTTTTTTATTCTTAGTAGGCTCTTAAGGCTTCAAATTTAATTCCTACAACCTCTAAGATAAATAAATTGTCCTCATTTTATAAATAAGGAAACTGAAGTTTAGAGTGGCTAAGTAATTTGCCCAAAGAATGAAGTCGTGTAAGTGGGATTGGAACCGAGGAAGTATGTTTGCAGAGTTGGCATTTTGGACAGGGTTCCATGGCTGATATCACGCCAGTCACACCACTTGTAGTACTCCCTGCTGTTCGTTACCCCCCACTTCATATCCACCCAGTGGTTCATCAGTCATTGTGGTCAAGGCAGGCCACCTCCATTTGCCAGAACCCACTGAGTGTCCTTTAGGTCTTGATCTGCATCATCTCTCATTATTGACTTCCTTTCCTTTTACCTTTTCAGTAACATTTCTTTCCTTTCCTCTTGACCCCAACAGACATCTCAGCCAAGCCCTAGTGGTCAGTCTTCATGCAGCAGCCAACAATCCCCCATCAGCAACTATTCCAACAGTGGGCTCGAGCTTCCTCTGACGGATGGAGGTGGTATGGGAGACCTCAGTGCCATCGACGAAACCCCCATCATGGACTCAACCATATCCACTGCCACCACGTCCCTCGCCCTGCAAGCCAGGAGAAACCCAGCAGGGACCAAATGGATGGAGCATGTAAAACTGGAAAGACTCAAACAAGTGAATGGAATGCTACCGCGCCTAAACCCCATCCTACCCCCCAAAGCCCCTGCGGTCTCTCCTCTCATAGGAAATGGTGAGCTCTGCATCAGACCTTGTGTCTGCTCAAGGTTTTCTATTCTTTTAAATGCAGCCACAGCACCCTGGAAGGAACTAGGTCCTGGTTTTATGTTTGTTAATTTTCCCACCAGTCCTAAAATTATGCCATAACCATACATATTAATGTTGCCTTTCTGGAGAGTCCATATTATAAAGCAAGTAGTGACAGAATAAGACTGAAACAAAAAGTAAAACTGCGTATCTTGTATTCTGATAGTGAAATCATAGCTATTAGACCAGGTGAGGCTATCCCAAGAACAGAAGCATCTGTGGTCAACACCTGTCTCTTGTTTCCACATCTAAAAGTAGAAGATTAGGAGCCACCTTATTGATGTTTGTCCAGTTCAGGGAAAGGCAAACAACCTTTTGCATTGTCAGCCCAAGTCAGTTTTTGCTTCTGAGGTCATACTGAATGCCTGGAGCACATCCCAAGGGTGAACCTCCCCACCCCACCACTCAGGTGTGATATACCTTCATAGGATGTCACATCAAGCCCTGAGTGTGGAATGAAATCTTGGAATGCCTTCAGCCTGCGGACATGCCTATAACTTCAGCACTGTGTATACATCCGGGGCTCTTCATTCTGCCCTTGCATTAGGCCTATGAGTTGCTTAACTGATCCAGAGTGGTGTTACTTTAAGTCAGGAGTCCCAGAACTTTGTCTGTGGGCTTGTAAATAAAGTTTTATTGTCCCCCCCCCCTCCCCAGCCACACCCAGTTCTTCACTATGGCCTGTGGCCCTTTGGTGCTGCACAGCAGAGGCAGGTAGCTGTAACAGAGACTGTCTGGCCTGGGGAACATAAGATAGTTACTACTTGGCCCTTTACCATGTACTGAGGCCTGTTTTTAAGTCATCCTGAAATGAATTCATCTCTGCCACACTTTCTGCAGGTACCCAGCCCAATAACAGCTGCAATTTGGGTGGGCCCATGACCCTCCTCCCTAACAGAAGTGACCTTTCTGGGGTTGATGTCACCATGCTGAACATGCTCAACAGGAGGGACAGCAGCACCAGTACCATCAGCTCTGCCTACCTGAGCAGCCGCCGCTCCTCGGGCATCTCTCCCTGCTTCTCCAGCCGGAGGTCCAGCGAGGCATCCCAGGCCGAGGGCCGGCCCCACAATGTAAGTGTCGCCGACTCCTATGACCCCATCTCCACCGATGCCTCACGCAGGTCCAGCGAAGCCAGCCAGAATGATGGCCCGCCTAGCCTACTCACCCTCACGCCAGCCCAGCAGTACCGCCTGAAAGCCAAGTATGCCGCCGCCACAGGCGGACCACCACCCACACCACTGCCCAATATGGAGAGGATGACCCTGAAGACCAGGATGGCCCTGTTCGGGGATGGGAAGGAGTCTACAGGGGCCCTGCCCCCTGTACACCCTCCTCGAAGATGTAGCGATGGGGGCACCCACATCTATGGCCGGCGCCCTCTGCTGCCCCAGGATACGCTGAGCCACAGTGTAAGAAGAGCCAGCGACCCAGTAAGGACGGTTTCGGAGAACCTCTCTCTGCCCAGGGTGCAGCGTTTCAACAGCCTGAGCAGCTTCAACCCTCCGGTTTTGCCTCCATCCCTGGAAAAACGTAACTTAGTGCTTCAGAATTACACACGACCTGAGGGTGGCCAGTCCCGCCACTTCCACTCCTCTCCTTGTCCTCCGAGCATTACTGAGAATGTCACCCTGGAGTCCCTGACCATGGACGCTGATGTGAACTTGAATGATGAGGATTTCTTGCCGGATGATGTGGTACAGTATTTAAATTCCCAGAACCAGGCTGGGTATGAGCAGCACTTCCAGAGCGACATCTCTGACGACCGCAAACTGCCCCACGGGCCTGGCTTGGGGAACGGGCACAGCAACTTTGACTCTCCTGGGCTACCAGACAGCCACGCCAGCCAGCAGTACCACACGCTGGAGCAGCCCTGCCCTGAAGCCAGCAAAGCCGACCTGCCCATTCAGTGGAACGAGGTTAGCTCTGGCAGTGCTGACCTGTCCTCCTCCAGGCTGAAGTGTGGCCAGAGGTCCACAGCACAGCCAGCCCGAGGCTTCGGGTTATACAGCAACATGGGCGTCCACCCACAGAATCCCCTGAGGAATGGGGCTGGCCAGGCAGGGGGCTATCAGACCCTTGGGGAGCATGGCAGTGCCTACGGCGGCCCAGAACACTTGGTGAGCCACAGTGGCGGGACTGGCACCAATGGAAATGCCTTCCATGAACAGCCTTATAAGGTCCAGCAGTTTGGGAACTATCTCACCAGGCAGCCTGGGGCCCCCAGCTCCCTCGACAGTGCCTGCAGTGCTGGGAGTCAAGCTGCAAAGCTGAGAAGTACCACCATGCAAGGGAACGGGAGCCAGCCAGATTTCGACCTGTCGATATTGCCCAATGAGTCAGCTGGTGGCACAGTGAATGGCATGCCAACTCGAGACCTGATGGGACAGGGCTACCTGGCTCATCAGCTACTCAGTGAAAGTATACACCACCAAGGGGCAGGCCGAGCGGGGCAGCAGATGCTAGAGCAGGTTAGCGCTACCTCATACATCCATATCTATCAAGGGCCAGAGAGCGGCCTGCCAGGGCCTCCCAGCATTGGGGGCCAGCTGTCCAGCTTGGCAGCTGTCAGGGGCTACCAGCCCTGTGCCGGCTATGGAGGCAACAGGCGCCAGGCTTTGCCGAGAGGCAGCCTCACTCTACAGCCAGGACAGCACAGTGACACAAGTCAGACCTGTAGGGTGAATGGCATCAAGATGGAGATGCAAGGGCAGCCTCATCAGCTCTGTTCTAATGTTCAGAGTTACTCTGGTCAGTTCTATGACCAAACCGTTGGCTTCAGTCAGCAAGACATGAAAACTGGTTCATTCTCTATTTCAGAAGCCAACTGCCTGCTACAGGGGGCCAGCGCCGAAAACTCTGAATTACTTTCCCCAGGTGCTAACCAGGTGACGAGCACAGTTGACAGCCTTGACAACCATGATCTGGAAGGGGTGCAGATTGATTTTGATGCAATCATAGATGACGGGGACCACGCCAGCCTGATGTCAGGAGCCCTGAGCCCAAGTATCATTCAGAACCTTTCCCATAACTCTTCCCGCCTCACGACACCACGAACATCCCTCCCATTGCCAGCACTATCTGTGAGCACCACCAACATGGCCATTGGGGACATGAGTTCTTTGTTGACCTCCCTTGCGGAAGAAAGCAAATTCCTTGCAGTTATGCAATAGGCGCTAGGAAAAAAGACTGCCAACAAACGTGAAACTTTAGGAGTTTAAAAGATTAAATTGAGTCAGTTTTTTGCTGGTTTGTTTTTTTAGTTCTATATGTATTTTAGCAATCTCATCTCACCTAACTGGGATGTGTTTCAAGTATATTCCTTTTATGGAAAAGGACTCTGAAAAACCCTAAAGTATTCTAGGGAGAAACTGTCTTCCATTTCAGTTTGAATCAGTATTGTTATACTCAAACCACCCACTTTTTAAAAAACTGTAGCCTGCCCCCTTTTTTTTGTAAACCAATGTAAATGTGTGTTGTGCATGTTCTTCTTTCTTTTCAAAGAGGTCAGTCTAAAGGATTTGACATGTTTCTCTGTTACTCAAAGAAAATAGGAGTTGGTATGCCTTTGACCAAGGGGTCACATGTCTAGCTTTTAAAAATTTCCCTTTACATATGTTCAACATTTGTTTTGGTTTTTTGATTTTTTAAAATTTCCACATTAGGCACAAGAATCAGAATATGGATAGTGAGTTAAGAATCTTTTGTGGGTGCACTGTAGCATTGATCGCAAATTTTTGACATGTTCCCCACCCCTAATTCAGTTCATGGTATACTTTTGGCAGTTGTACACAAATGGAAATTTGAGGCTTTTGAAATGAAATAGTTTGCTCACAGTTTAGATGTAAAGTTCTTCCTGTTCATAGTGTGCTTTGTGGGGTATATCTGTATGGTCAGTTCTCAGTTATCTACTTTGCCTCTTCTCCTTTCTCTTTCAGTGCTGTTTAGCGCACTGTTCAGATGCACTGCTTTTTTCATCTGGTCTGGTAAATTAGGTAGATTGTAGATTGGAGCTATTGGGTAGAATTAGTTTGGGGAATATTTGTGGGTTTGCTGTATTGATTTGTTCCATCTCTTTACTGTTATCATAGATAACCGAGAATTGATTATATATAGTTGAAAACATAGGCATTTAAACAACCCCACAGCCCACAGTCATTTACATATGTTAATCCAACTATAGTGAAGGACTACTTCTGTTCTAAGCACTCTATTTTCAGAGATTTTTAAAACTTGGTTGTAACAGAAAAAGCTCCCATACAATGATAATTAGAATAAATAGCTTTGACCACTTTTGGTATTTGAGAGACAAAGGAGGATGTTTAGTTACTAAGGAGGATGTTTAGAAGCTGTTGGATGCCTTTTTTTTCTTTTTTATATATTTTATCTATTAAATGCATCCATTTAAGAACCTAAATGTTCTATGCAGTTAGTCCTTAATTTGGACTTAATCTATCCTCTATTTTAGATTAAAACATTTAAAGATTGAAAAAATGCAGCTGCTTCCCATGTGCACTGGGTACACATAAAAGACATACTGTGTGTGCACAGAGTACATGGATTATCCAGCATTTTAGTTTTTAAAATATGTAGACTTTTTAAAATATGTAAAATAAAATATTAACACATCAAACTACCTGCTGTATTCTTCCCATTGATCCTGGAATTGGATTTATCCACAGTGATTCATGGTTTAATTGTGTGGCTTTTTCCCTTTCTTCCTGCCATTTAAATTGGTTTTAGAAAGACAGTATCAGATACAGTAAAATGTTAGGTAACAGAAAGAATGTTAGGACCATCCCATTTTTCTTATGTTTCTGTTCTCTCATTTGAATAAAAAAATCTCTGCATGGAGGTAAATTTCCCTTTGAAACGTTGTGGCCAAGGCAATTGGGTTTGCTTTCAACTGGATGTTCCTGAGATCAGCAGAGAGATGCTGAGATTTCTAATCAACATCTTGCCATTCTCTCGCTTGCAGCACCTTCTTTTAAATCAAAGGATGCACCTACTCTGGAACAGAGCCCAGAAGCAAAAGACAGCTACTGATCTGAGCTCAGTAGAGTGGAGTCTCTATTACTTTTCAATGGGAAAAGCAAAGCTTTTTCTGTGTTTTGCAAACAGGTCGTGATTCAGTCACAAAATCAATGTCCCATTCCCCAAATCCCCAAGTCCTGGTATTACCTTTCTTGCTCTTGTGGTTTGGCCCAATCCCTCTCCCCTTCCACCTTTCTCCAGTAGTATTCCTGGATGTAACCCGCATTTCTCAGTTCCCATAATTTCCCATATCTTTGCGCCATGTGGAAGGGAATAGCAATTGAGATGAGCACTGTTGTCATCTTGTGCCTCTGCTGTGTGGTGATTTTTGTTTGTTTGTTTGTTTGTTTGTTTTCAAGTTTCAGATGATTCTCTGAGTTGTCCCCTTTGTTTACTTTTTCTTTTCAGACTTGTTTTTCTTGCTACTGCCTTTAGATTTGCAGGGACCTTCACACTTCAGCTCAATATGTGGCTTTTCTCAGAAGGATCGATCTGTTGTGACAGTCAGTGAGTGGCACAAAGGTCTTTTGGGGTCACTTAGAAGTGTCTTGTCTGGATATGGAGCTCTGTAGACTTGGCATCTCCTGTGGTAGGATGCATCCCCAGCTTCCAACCTCCTCTCCATCAGCTCACTAGTATCACATCCTACTTTGTAATGCAGGCTCCTATGTGGTACTTCTATTTAACAACTTTGTTAAAACATGTTTTTACTTGTCAAACTATTTTGTTTTATTTTCTAAAGAACTGATTAGACTATCCCTGCTCCTCACACTTTGGCTCATCTTCTTGAGCCACAGAGTTTTGATTCTTACAATGTATGTGCCTTATTTTATGTTAATTGTGTTCATGGGAGGGACCATTTGATGTTGCCCAATAAGAGCTTGAAACTGTGCACTTCCCAGCTGGCTAAGAGCAAACAATTGTAGCAGAGTCTGAGCTGTCTTGTAAGCTGGATTCCCGTGTTGTTTTGAATGGATAGGAATATGTTCTCTTCTGAGAAGTTACTGTTGTGTATCCTGCAAACATGTAAGATAAAATACAAGTTCATTTTTTTCACCATTTTTAGATTTTTTTAAAAAAAAATAAAATGTGTAATCCTTTTTTAAAAGAAAGACATGTAAATACATTTAAGTATTGTAGGCATAGTGTCCAGATGTGGACGGCCCTGGGCCTTCCTCAGATCTGCCTGCATCCTGAGCGATGCCCTGTACTCACCCTGTAGCGGCCACAGATGGACTCGACTTTTGCTTTCAAAACCACTTAGTCCTTTTTGTAACAAAGAGAAAGAACAATGTTTCTTATAATGTCAATAAAAAACTCTTTGTACTGAAATTTTATGGGTTGTTTATTTAATTC